TTTTTTGAAACAGGGTCTCACTATGTGCTGGTGTCAAACTCACAGTGATCCTCCTGCCTCAGCCTCCTGAGTGCTGGGATTACAGGTGTGCACAACCTCACCCTGCTAGTCATAGCCTTTTTATTGACCAGAGGCCAAGCACTCCAGACCAGGAGGTTCTCAGCCTTTTCTCAGCTTTCAGATGCTTGAGAGGTCTGTAAATGCCCCCATCCAGTTGCCATTGTGACTTACAAGCATAGGTGAGACATTTTGGAAAACCACTTCGAGGGCTAAGCCTCAGGCTTTTCTTGGAATCAGAGCAGAGCATCAGCATCTTGATGCCCAGTCTGATGACACGAAAAACAAACCATGCTAAAGGTGTGCACATGTGTTTGAAACCTGAGGACACTAATATTGCTGGATCTGCTCCAGATTGGACAGCCTTGTGAGGAAGTGTGCTGGGATGTGTGGCTTTGGGAAGGATCCACTGGACATGCGAGGATCGGATGCTGCATTTTCCATTGTTCCCAAGTCAAACAGAGGGAAACCTGGAAAGCAGGTTTGAGGCTTTTCTCAGGATATGTGTCCTTTACCAGTTTTGTTCACCCTTGGTCCCAGAATCTTTTCAGAAGCCAAGAGATAAGAAAACCATCATATGTTAAAGGAGGCTTTAACGTCTAGAAATCAGAAGTAAAATAAGATCATTCGGATTTGAAAGTCAGCCTTTACCAAATCAGAGGATTGTACAGCAGTTTGGGGGTGCAGGGCTGGCAGCGAGAGGGTTTAGAACTTCACTGCTCCAAACAGAGCTCTCCTTCTTCTCACAGGTGGTCAGAATGGCTTCAACATTCCCCAGGTGACCCCCTGCCCGGAAGTGGGAGAGTACCTGAAGATGTCTCCCGAGGACCTGCATTCCTTGGACTCTAGGAGAATCCAAGGCTGTGCTCGCAGACTTCTTTGCGATGCATATATGTGCATGTACCAGAGTCCGACCATGAGCTTGTACAAGTAGCGGGTCATCCCGGGAGGTGAAGAGACTGCACGCAAAATGTTAGTGTCAGCTGCCTGGAGCTGGCAGTTCTGTTCCACTCCCATTGCCGGCAATGGGTGTCTTTGTGTGGTGGCGATTCAGAAAAGGATTCCTGTGCTTCAAAACCAATTGCTTTTGTGTTACTGAAGTATTTAATAAGAAGCATTTTGCACTCTAGAAAGTATGTTTGTGTTGGTTTTATAAGAAGTCTAAATGAAGTTAATACCTGAAGCTTTAAGTTAACTGCATTGATTATATAATATTTTTGGAAGCATAAAATTTTAATTGTGACAGTTTAAAACCTCTTTTAGTCCATTGAGAATGTAAATAAATGTTTCTTCTTTCTGGACCAAGGATATGAAATAATTTTTCCTTTGTAGCTAACCGTTGCCTTGAGGAAGAAATAATTTGGTTTCATTAAGAGTCTACTTTCAATCCAGCTGTTACAGGTGTGCTGCGTTTGCCTTGTTAATCCCTTCCTCCTTACTGCTGATTCCTGCATGTCTGCAATCTGCTGAGTTTTTGTGTTTCTGCAATAGTGGTCAGAAAAATACTGAAATTCCCCTAATGGTGTTGTTTTCTACTTGTTCTGGTTTTGAGATAAATGAGTGATTCTGTCATAAAATGTCCATTTTTGATGTACTTTTCCTGGAGGACTAGGGTATTCAGCAATTGAAGCTCTGTAGTCACTGTAAGTGTCACCTAACGGGATTTTTTAGGCACTATTTTTATGCAACACAGCACAGTAAATTTTAGAAAAGATTGGAGTAATAAGTAAATAATAAACTCTTATACAGTCTGTAAGAAAAATTTGGCATCTAGAATTACTCATTAATATTTCCCTGAAAAGATAGATATTTAAACCTTTATTTAAATAAATAAGAGGCTTATTTTAAATAAACTTCTGTTACTTTGAATAAGGCAGTTGCTTTAAATTTGATCAGTCAGCCAGTACACTCACTAAATTCAGTTTGGTTTTGCTTGAGATAGTGATGATTCTGAATCATATTTTATTGAAGTGTTAGCAGTGGCTTCATCCTCCCTCTGATTAAGTAAATAGAAAATGGATGTTTTCTTAGGTATATCCATAGTGTGTGTAGACCACAGTGGATGTTGTAGACTAGAATCATAGATTTTCAATGTCAGTGCTGTGGAACATATATCCCTTGAGTATTGTTCTGTGATATTGTTGTGTTTTTGGAACAACTTTCTAACTTTGCAGAAAGGCAGAAAAGATGTCATATGTATATAGCATATGACTACAATACTGAATGTCAAAAAAAAACAAAACAACCTAGAAAGAGTCTTTAGCAACCCTGCAGTTATTTTTTTAAAGATTCCCTTTGGTTTTATCATTCCATTTTGCTGGTATTTATTAGCTTTATAAATCATAATAAGGTAAAAAACTTTTCCATTGTATAACCTCTTCATTTTTGAAGTGAAGAAGTAGGTATGTTTTGTACTGCTTACGTGGGGCTGTGAGGTGATAACTAGATGAAGGGTGTGGGCTGAGGACTCCTGGCCTTCCCCTTGGGACGGGGGGCCATGGGATGCAGTGTCTCAGTTCTGTGCTAGCTCTGCATAGCTACAAGGTGCTGAATGAAGAACGGGTGAATGAGGACCAGTGTGATCCCAGCAGGTTAGCTGCAGGAGTGATCTGCATCTGTGCGTAGATGAGACTGGACCTCACAGTGAAGAGAGAGAGAAGACAGTTCTTTTTCTGTAAAAAGGAAGACAAAATACAAGGTGGAGAAGATCTCTGGTTGGCTTACATGGTAGACGGCTGCAAGACTTGCTTGGAAGCCGGCTTGATTCCAAATTCCACAGGGCAGAGCCCTTGAAGGTGGGAGAGGCCTTGTCCAAAAACGGTTTCTAACATTTTCTCCAGGTGGGGATCATTACTGAGGAGGGGGGCACATGGGAAGGGAGGCCCATGTCTTTGTCCTGCTCCTGAGAACCACCAGGATGGCCAGAGAAGCCTCTTCTCTCATCTGTCCCTCGCATCCTCCTGGGAAGTCCCTCTTCGTTCCTTCTTCTGACAGGGCCTGGGGTGTCCAGGGGGCATGGTCAAGCCTGGGCTGCATGACACAGATGTCCAGTGTGCCTGCTGAGTTAGTTAGCTTTCAGTTTTAGGTTTTCTCTGGTATTCTGTTGGCTTTTAAAATGTTTTCTCATTTTTCTTCATCATCTCTACATTCAAGATAAAATATAGTAAGTAGAATCATCTTTATATCATGGCTCATGATTCATAGCTACAGATAGAAACTATAGCAAGTGGTGTTCCTCCACCTCCAAATAAATACATGTGTGTTTATATGTGGAAGAACAGGTTGGCAGGGGAGACAGGAGGGAGAGAGACAGACAGACTGACTGTGTTATAGATGCTAGATGTGTCCTGTCCCTCACTAATAGCTTTATGAAGGAGTCTGACTCCAGCCACAAAAGAATGTCTTCTGAGACTGGGAAAACATTGGAAACCAAGAGAAATTATTTAAAAATGAGTATAATTGTTGCAGTTACTAAGGTTTTTCTGTTTAGAATATTTTAGAATTTTTGTAACTTATATTTGCCAAGTGCTTAGTAAATGGTCAGGTTCTTGCTGTCCCCTGATTCATTTATTCTCCCACACATAGTCACTTGAGAACAAAGGGAGGCGACCAGAATTAGTCTTACGGAACTTAGGCTGTCTGCCCAAATTTCTGTTTGTCCGAATGTGGCATCTTCATAGATTCTGGAGTTGCTCCCCTTCTAGGCTGGATCTCACTGTGCAGCCAGGTAATTTTGCATCTGCTTGGATGATTATAGACTGAGATGTGCATGGAGAATGTGGAATCAAATCTTCACTGAGCGGCTGCCAGCAGGAATTTATTGGACATAGATTAGGTACCTAGGATCATGTCACAGACATATCAGACCTGGTCACTGCTCCAAACAGCTCAGTACCTAACTTCAACCAGAGCATCCACTGGGTCTGTTAGCATAAGTGAGAGGTGACAGTTCTGGGGCAGCTTCAGGTGGCAGTTTGGTGTCGCAGGAAGGGAAAGGCCTGGGGACAAGGACCCTGGACCAGTTCTCTGTTCCTGCTGTGTGATGTTAGATGACTCGACTGCTTGGGCTTTCGTGTCTTCCTGTTTGTAATGAGGGGGATTGGACTGTTGGATTTTATAGGGGAAGAAAAAGTAGAAATTCTAAGATCCCGGGCCATGGCTGCTGGACCTGACCCTCACAAGGGGCTAGAAATGTGCTGGGCAGACTGTTACCTGCCGAACCTGATGACCAGCCAGGGTGGAAGCCACTGAGCTAGAACACCTCAAATGTCCCTTCTCCTTTTGTGACCATGTATTGCTGTTGTATTGACTATTCTACATAAATGTGAGTAGTTGAGTGTTCATCCTATTGTTATCTGTGTTTATATGTGAACTTATATAAGACATGAATTTCAGTATGTGTGCCTCAACACACATTTCCTGAAAGTTTTAGCCATTTTTGGAACACAAATGAGTCTTAAGAGGATATTTGATACAGACATTTTCCTTCCATCTTATTTCTTTAGGGGAAGGTGAGGCTCTGGAAGCCAAAGAAACAGAAAAACATAATTTTCGTGTAGGGAAAAAAATTATACAATTTCTTACTATCCGCTACATTATGATGAAAAATTTAAAATTTTGTGGTAAGATATTTCTCTGGAGTAACAGGTCATCTTATCATAAAGTAAGATGTCCTTGGTAAAGTCGATGAGCCACTAGGTCTGTAATAAAAGCAAATCCACTTCCGTCGGGCCACCTCAATTCTCCATGGATGGGCAGAGTCCTTGACTTCCCCACAGCAGGTTGGGGCCCAGGGAAGGAGAGGCTAAACTGGCAAGAGGAGGTAGTGCAGGAAATAGGGGGGCCCTTAGCCAAGCTGCAGCCACAGGAGGCAGGGTTTCTGTGCTTCTGGGACTGTCCCCTTGTCCCAGATCAGGACTTCAGAGAGGGAGGCTGCCTGCGGAGAGCTGGCCTTGCTCCTGTCTCTTCTCCTTTCAGATGTCTTAGTAGGATGGGCAAAGCTCTTCCTCTTAGAATAAATCCTGGAGCAGCTGAAGGCTTTCTTTTGAGTCCGGAAGCAGTGATGGAGTTAACTGGTGGAGTGGCTGGGAAGAGTGACAAAGCGGAAGGGAGTAAGCGTGAAGGGCAGTGCTCAGAGCCAGGGGACTTCAGGGCTGCTTCTTTCTTGGCAGTGGCCACATTTTTTTCTTTGTATTTTAAAATCTTCCATTTCTTTCCCTAACAGAGTTCAGGAGGCGGGCCCATGATGGAGGGATTCTCTTTCTAAGCACCATGGCTTCAGATATAATTCTCCAGTGCTTTTAAATCCTGTTCATTGTCACTTTTTATTTATTCTAAAGGATTATACTGGAGACTCAGCTGTCTTTGGTTTTGTATTGTTAAATGGCCTTGTGCTATGAAATTTTAACTCTGCGAAGTCTTAGCATCATACCATAAACACTTATGAAAACAAATCCTGTTGATGCTTTCCAGGGGCACTGTGGTTCTTGGTAGGCAAAGGAGCACATTTTGTACTGCATTTCCATTTCTGGTATCCTGTTGAGCACTTTTAAATTTTTTTGCCTGAAGAACAGCTTATACTTATGAAAACATTCTTTAAGAACAACACCACATAAAATACCCCTTTACTATCAGATTGCTCTGATTTAGCCTTAATTTTGTTAAACTTTTTAGAGATGAATGAAGTGCTGCTGTGGAAAGAAATGTACTATATACTATTTCTGTATCATTAAAATGAAATTTTTATGGTTCCTTTTCCTTGGTTTCTTTGGGGAAGGGTCTTGCGCTGTGGGAAAGCTGGAACTGGGTCTCCATTGCGGTCGCACTTGCTGTGGGGCCAGCATAGGTGATCCCTTCGGGAAGTGCCATACCTGGCACATCTGTCCTCATGAAGCCTCCACTGTTGGTACAGTCGCGTAAGCACACATCACACCCTGCTCCTCTCTCGGAAATGTGCCAGGGCATCCATCCGGGTCCATGTGGTTTCCTGTGTAGCCTGAGTTTCACAGCTCTGCTTCTAACGGAAGTCCCATCCCCATCTCTGATCCCCTCCCGGCAGGCGTTGTAACCACACTTCACCCCCAGACATGGCACTGTGCGGATCTCCACAGAGGGTGTGTTCTGGCCGCACAGCTGCCAGTGAGTGCTTTACTTCTCTGTCATCCCCAGAGTGATGATCACATGGCATTGAGGGACTGAAATGAACTCCAGTTTTCTTCTGGGTATTAGAACAAATCTCCGGGAATTATTTGGAGGTTAAGTCAATTATCATGCCAAAATAGGAAAGCTGGAAGGGTCTGAGTTATAATACTGATATTCACAGTGCATTCAAGAAGGTTTCTGTAGCTGGAAATGGTGATGCATGCCTGTAATTACAGATCCCAAGTTTGAGCCCAGCGTGGGCAACTTGAGGAGATCCTGTCTAAATGCTGGGTGGTGGAGGTGGTGGAGGCGCAGCTGAGGTTGCGTTCAGTGTGAAGGTGCTGGGTTTGTCCTCCTCTCCAGTATAGTAAGTCCCCAACTTACAAACAAGTTCCATTCTGGGAGAGCGTTCCTAAGTTGGATTTGTTCATACCTGATAGTTTTATACTGTACAGTACACCTGTGAAAATTCGCAACTCAAATGTTCATAAGTCGATGTACTGAACTGCAAAACAAGCATCAACAAAACACCAAGGTTTCAGTTAAAAAATCCAACACTTAGAGCTGTACAGACATACTACTGATAAAAGAAGGCTGTGAATATCACTGATTGCCCTTGTCAGGGTCGACAGTTGGGCTGCTTTCTCATAGATTCCCATACTTTCTGCCTCCTGGCATATTAATGTGGCAGTGAGAGTCTGTGCTTGTGCCCACCCACACGTGGTCAGTCAGTGAAAATTAGTCCTTGCCAGGGAGAGCCATCTGGTCAGAGGAACCCCCGGTCCTGCCTGGTCTCTCCTTACAACCTCACAGATGTGGGTGCACCATCCAGAGTGTGGTTCTCTGGCTGCAGGCGGAATCCACATGGGGGGACTTGGAACACGCCCATACTGTGCCACATCAGCCTGACAGGAATCTCTGAAGTTTGGGCTAGCAGTTGGCATTTATCTCAGTAAATGTGCTGCGGAAGTGAGCACATCAGCGGGTGTTCATCAAAGCTGTTTGTGCTTGTCCGGAGTGCAGCCCGACTGGGGACCCTTTGCCAGAGGGAAGGAGTTCCCTGAGGGAGATGGAACCTACTTGTTATTCCCAGTGAACTTTCTGCTCAGTGCAAGACAGGATTGTGGACATGGACAGGCGCCAAGTTGGACGCAGGCAAATTATCGTGAGCTGCCTGGGCATCACAGTGTGCTAGAGGCAGGAGAAAGGTCCTGCATGCAGTGAAGGAATTTCCCATTTGTGAAGAGGGTTTTAGTAAAGCTGCCCCTTATGGGGCATCATAAAGATGTGTCATTTTTATTTAGAAAATGGTTCAGAGTGTGTGTAGATTTCAGATGTCATAAACTTTATGTGTTAGTCTTATTTTTAAATCCTGCCAGGCTGACTAGGCAAGCAGGTGGAAGAAGCCTTGGGAATGGGGCCCTGGGGGCAGTCAAGCCTGGGTGGGTGCCTGTGTTGGTAGTCTCTTTTGCAATGCTGGATTTTACTGGAGGGAAGTCATTTCTGGGGTCCAGTTAAGAGCAATCAGGTGACCTAAGACTGAACTGGATGTTGTGGAAATTTGGTAATTCACTCAGCAGAGCAGCCTTCATCAGAAAAGCACAATGAAAATTGGCAAGTCTTTAGACTGTCCCATTTTTCTAAGAGTTAACGGAAGCTTTTGAATTTCAGATCTCAGGAATGGCCCTACCAATAACACCCAGATCCGAGTTAAATATTACCTTTTCCAAAGTATGTAGCTAAAGGTTGCACTGGGTTTGAAGAGCTGGCAATGAGGTGACTTTGCCAGCAATGCTGCCTGGGGTCCTCCCCAGCAGCCGCATTCCCCGACCTTCTGAGGCTCTGAGTGAGTGATCCCTGGGGTCCAGCCTTGTGGGTGCAGTGGGTGGCAGGCAGGTCTTGCCAGGTTGTGGACTGAATACAACCAGGTCTGGGACCGTGAACTGGCTGTTTGGCTGTGCGTTCTCATTGGTTACAGAGGGGTGTGTTGTACAGGGATGTGCTATAGACTGGACTGATGATAAGGGAATGCATGTATTTTTATAAAACTGTTTCATCGCTCTGGGCCATCTCTGCATACTTCAGGCCATGTTTCCAAACTGTGTCCTGCAGGCTGCCCGTGACAGTGGGATGAGTTGTTGCAGGACAGACAGACAGAGTGCAGCTTCAGTCTCTGTTAGAGGAGCCCCTCTGGCTGGCCTTTCAGCACAGTGGCAGGGGCCTGCAGCCATGTGTGTTAACCAGCCCAGTGGGCAGAGAGGTGGCCCTGGTTTGCAGCCTCTGCTGACAGCACAGCACAGCGGATTGCAACTACCAGAGTGACATCTTTGGGATGACAGCGCATCAGGATTCACACACAAGAAGTTAGCATTTCCACTGTAGGATACAATAGACGGAAGTGCCTGAGCACAGATGAGCTGTCTGTAAACTGCAGCCCATGGGCAGAGCCCAGCCCACCGCCGCCACCTCTACATCAGTGGAATCCAGCTACACTCATTCACCTGCACACTGCCTGTGGCTGCTTTTGCGCTTCTGGGGCAGAGTGGAGTCATTGTGACAAGGACCTGTGCCACCGAAAATACTTTCTATCTGGTTCTTTACGGAAAATGTTTGCTTTCCCCTCTGGCAGAGAGAATGGTAAAATGTGAAATAATTGGGAAATGGTGTTTCGAGTACTACTTTTATTGGGGTATAACTTATTGAACTTTAGGTTCATATAATTTAATAATGGATGTGTTTATGAAATGGCTTCTGACATTCCCCAAAATTTAGCGATTGGCTCTTACGAGCCATGGGAACAGCCCCAATCTATCACGGACACCATTTCCAATGCACCTGTAGGCACTTCTGCGCTCTTCTATTCTTCCTTCCCCCCTGCCCAGCACTCATTCCCTGACCTACTGGTTACCGTGGTCTCTACACTGATTGATTCTCTTTCCTTAACACCTTGTCCAGTGCCTGGCGCGAAGTGAGTGGTCAGATATTTGCTGAATGAAGGAAGGAACTTGCAGCCCTTTGTGAATAGAAGCTACCACCCTATTCACTGTTGTCAACACAGCCAGAATTGGAGCACTGTCCTATCTCTTTTGAGAAAGTGCAAGAGGTCCCAGTCTCTGGTTCCCATGCAATGCTTCCTCTCAGAAGTGGAGACGTCATAGAACTTCCCCGTTAGGCTTTTATGAACTTGACTGAAATCATGTACGTAAGGTGCTTGTCGCAGTGCCTAGCACTTGCAAACCCCTCTGAGAAACAAATAACAAGTGTAACCAATGTGCCTCTTTCCACCCCTCTTCCCTTTCTAGACGCCCCCGCCCCATACTCCAATCTATGTGGTTAAGATGTAGGCTTTCTTGAGCAGTTTGTACTTCTGAGTGCAGCAGTGCCATCTTGTGATCATTATGCATCACTGCAATGCCCTAGATTTTAGCTCCCAAGCGGAGCAGCTGGACTCCAGGTTTGGGGAACCGCAAGTGATTTTTGAAAGTAACTATGGCAATTAGATCTATATAGCAGATTACAAATTACATCTGATTGGGTTTAGGCTTCCTCCGTGTCATTTCAAGGCAGCTTGTTAGCGTTGGCCTTTTCTGCTTTGGACTAAATTGTTTCTGCCCTTTCTGTTTAATGATATTTAGAATGAGTTATCGCCATCTACTGGGTGAATGCAGGAAGGTCTGTTGTGAAGTCTGGCCTCTGCGAAGGCATGCATTACAAATTCTCAGCTTTATGGGAAGAAAGTAGGTACATAATAGGATCTGGACCTCACACCCCTCACTGGGTGTGTATTTCTTGATGTGAGCATAACTCGGCTGTGCTGACTTCCCTACAGGGACTCAATATGAAAATCGACCACATTCTCATGAGCATTTCTAGAGTGATCTGTGGACTAGAGAGAGGCCTCAGAGTTACAGGAGAGGCAGAGATGCAGGCTCAGAGGGTCCACACAAAAGTGCCAGCCCAGCTTCTCAGGGAAGAGCCCTGGAATCTTCATTTCGGACACATCCCCTTCTTCCACCTAGCAAATCACATATACCGGTAGAGTCACTGCCTTACCCTTGGCCACTGAGGCAGTCCCTTTTTATTTTTCAGGAAGAGTTTGCATTTGGATAAGACTTGTGTAAACTACTTTTCATGCAAGTGAGAACAGGCTGCTCATATAGAGCCATAGTACCCACCTCGCTCATTTTGCTGTGTGCAAAGTGAGAAGAGACCCAAACCTCCAGACCAGGCGTGACACACAGCTGAGGCTCATAGGTTGCTACCCCTGCTCTCCACATGCATGTGTGAGGTCAGCCAAAGGCATCCCCTGTGCCCATCCTCCCTGCTGTGCTTGGGTGGAAGGGGAAGAACTATTCACACTTCCCTGGCTAGCTATGCTTTCCTGATACCTCTGAGCCATCTTCTTAAGCAGGACTTAACTACAAACCGAATCTGTCTGGGCCTTAGTTTCTCCAGTGCTTGGTGATTCTTTTAGATCACTTTAAGGACACGAGCAAAAGTTCACCATATATTAGGTGGGAAAAATGGGTTATAAAAACTTAAGTACCATAATAGATCTAATTTTGTCT